GGCGAGGCCGCGCGTGGGGGTCGCGCCCCCTCCCACGGCCTGGCCGCCCTGGCCCTCGCTGCCTTCCGCGGGTCTGACCCGTGCTTTCCAAAATGATGCTCTCAAGGGCACAGCTGCCTTCGATAAGGAGCGCTTGAAGGGGAAACCAGGTAGGTGACTGCATTAAGCCCTCGGGATTTCCGAGCGGTATCTCTGGGCAGAAGGCGGCAGCGAGGCCGGGGCCGTGGTTGCAGCAGTCGCAGCCCTGCGGAGCCCAGCAAGAAGGCTGCTGCAGGATAAAAAGATTTTCTTTAAACAGATTAAATTTCTGGCCTTTGTCTTTGCTGTAAGGAAAGGTTTAGCTTTGCCTTTGGGAAATCCTGGGGGATCGAGGTCTTGCGCGTACTACTGTGAAAGAAAAACCACGTTTGTTCCCAGTGTGCTGAAACGATTTGCAAACTCCCTCTCAGTCTGATTGAAAGAAGCACTTCAGCAGACTAGCACTGGCCCTGAGCCGAGAGATTCGTTTTCCTTCGTAGCTTTTGAACGCGCAGACTCGTGGATGGAGCGAGCAGAGATTAGCTAGGTATTGCTAATTGCTAATCACAAGGGCTGTCAGGGTAAAATTAGAAAGGGAACGTTTGGTGTAAAACTGGCACCTCTCCCTTGTTGCTTCCAGCGTTTGGTTTTCAAGATTTTGTGAGCAGGGACTTGAAGCACTTTTTTTCCTTTGCTAGAAGCAGCAACTTGATTTTTTTTTCCCCTGATTTTTATTAGCAAAAAACTACAAGTCCGGAAGATGGGAATGGTAACGTACGTCTCGTACGGACTGAATTCAATCCAATTAGTGTGTCTCGAGCTAAAAGGAATCCAATTACTTTACACGGCAACTCCCCGTCATTGAAACTAGCTTGTTGCCAATGGCCCCCCTTTGTCTGCTGCCGCCGTGGTGGGTGTCTTTACTGAGGTGGGGTCGGCGTCGCGCACGAGGCGGACTGATTTCGTGAACGTGGGGACGGCTCTCTGCTTTCTGCCCAGCCTGTGACCCGCAGCAGCGGGTGGGAGACTCGATGCATCTGCGAAGAGATTTAGCAAGATGGTCTTGTTTAGCCTGGACGTGGGGCTGGAGTCTGGACGTGGAAGCTGCTGTTCCCAAACCGTTACTTGGCCTAAGCTAAGACCAGCTGAGGCTTTATCGTCAGGCTGCATTAAGCCCTCGGGAGCAGTGAGGCTCAACTCGTCAGGCTGAACGAGTTGAGTTCAGGCTGCCAGGGGCTGAAGTTATCTAGGTCTAAAGCTACAGTCAGCTATACAAACTGAAGTCTGAAGTTGTTTGCATCAGCCAGTCTGGAAATTGGGATCTCCAGGGAACAGGGAAACTAAGACCATGGTGGTCGGAAATATCCCCCAGCCTTGTGTCCGCTGGTCGAAGAGCATCAGCCTCCGTGGGCTCTCAGCTCGGGGGTCTCTCTTCTTGACTCACTTGCTGATTTCCATGAAACACCTAAGAACCTAATGTTTTTTAGATCTGTCAAAGTCATTTAAAGTCGGTCAGCTTGCAGGCAGACGGCTCAGTAACCTCAGTTTTGAAGCTGGTCCTGCTCTAAGCAGGGCTTTTGCCTACAGACCGCCAGGTGTCCCTTCCTCTGATTTTTTGTTCTCTGATTCTAAATGAGGTTAAAATGTCAATGCCATGTTATCAGCACCTTATCCTGGGTGTGTGACGGTCAGAAGTGTCTCTGCGTTCCCAGTAACGTTGTGTCTCCTAACCCCCAGGTCACGTTGGAGCAGCGAGCGCCCGAGCTGCTGGCGCTGTGATGCCCGACGCCGCTCGCTGGAGCTGGAGCCGTACGCTTTGGCAGCGCTATGGGGAAACTGCAGAGCAAAACCAACCTCCACACCTCCAAATACAGGTAAAAGCCCCGGATGAGCATATCTTAATAAACCAACCTTAGGAGTGAATAGAGAACTGCAAATGAATAGAGAATATAGCAATAGAGAATATAGCAAGTCTCTGTTTTAAGTTGGTATTAATGAATGTATGAATCCGGTTTGCGCTTTTGACCCCTGCTTCTGAAATCTGCTCAGCTCCTTGGGGGTCTGAAATCCATGGGTAGCTCCCAGGAGCGGCCGAGCATGTAAGCGCGAGTGCTCTGTGATTGCTTATTCAGAGCAATCTGCGCGCTCAAAACGCCAGGGGTGGCTGTTCGGCCAAAATATCCCAACTGCTTCACTGCCTCTTGAGAGACTGTCATAACTTTCTCCAGCAAGGGGAGCAGCACAACGCGGATCCTAGTTCAGTGTTTTCTGTGAAAATGGCTCCTTTGCCAGAGCAAGTGTCCTGTGTCCGGTGTGCTGTGGACTGCCTGATAAGCCGGTGTCAGCCACTGAGCAGGAGAGCACGCACTTGAATCCTGGCAGTGCAGGTTGAATATTGATAATTTTGCTGTGTCACAACTGTATGGGCATTAGCTGGGAGAAAAGAGGGATCCAGCCAGTGGGAGGAGGCAATCGGCCCACAATAAATTGCTAGCACGTCCACAAGGACGTTTGCTCTGGAATTTAAGGTATAGTTTTATTTCCAGCTTCCCCCACCCCAGCAGGCAGGAGGGCATCTCGCAGACCTGCAGCATCCATAATTAGGTATTTGGAGCAAAAAGGGTGATCTCTGCCTGGAGAGGAGCTGAGAGCACAGAGCGGCAGCAGTGATGCTAGGAGTCCTTTGGCAAAGCTAGTTTCAAAGAGCAAAGTTGTGGTACCAGCCAGGACAGTAGCCAGGCTTGAACGCCATTGATGTATGCAATCCAGGGAGATTGAAATGCCACTTTTTTCTGCTCTTTGCACTGGCACGGAGTAAGTAAACACCTAAATATTTAGCAACTCAAGAGGTGGAATCTGCTTCCTCTATCTCACCTAGTCCAGAGACACATTTGTCTATGCATAGCTTACCTTTGGCTTTCCAAAATCAGATGTTATTGTTCTCTAGTTCACTAACGCTGTTGTCTTCTAAACATCAGTCTAAGTGGGGAAAGTCACCTTAACTTGGCCATAAAATGTGCTGCAGCTCCTGCCACTGTTTCTCTCCCTGCTGCAGGGCTGATGGCTCTGCAGAGAAGACGGGGCCTGTTAGAGGTGTTCAGCAGTACAGCCCAGTGCATGCCGACGCAGTCACTTCTGTGGCTGCTCTCAAACCAGACCTCTGCGTGTCTGGAGGAAAGGATAAGGTAAGGTGCACGTCCACCACAGGGGACACAGTACAGTGAAAGACAAGAAGATATTTCTGGAGTGTTTTGCCAGGGAGGCTAGGAAAAGGAGGTTAATGGCTCAAATGTGACTTTTAAACATTTCCATGAATGATAACATCAGCAGTGATTTTCCTGGATTTAGAAAGAGGAGATGAGCTCGAAGTGTGAGGACACACATCGAATCGCAGTGTCGGGTGTGAAAGTCCCTCCATCTCCCAGAGTCTGAGTCCAATCAAAAATTCAAAACCAGACAAGTGGATTTGTATCCAGTAAGTTCACCTTGGGGAATTAATGCGTGACCCCGGAACAGATCTAGAATGATAATCCCATTTCAGCCGTAGCATGAGGCAGGGAGCAAACAGTGGGTGCACAAAGACTGAATGAGGAGCCATCAGTGATCAAGCAAGGAGACCTCTGTGCGCAGAAGAGAACATCTGGGGTTGTTTTTCTTACATTGTGAGATAAGAGCTGGCGTTACAGATCAGGGAAAAGAGGGCAATCTGCGGAAGTGGGAGTGCGGGAGCAATGTGATACAGGTGATAGAGCAGCTACAATGGAAAGATGTCTTAGGCAGTCATGGTTGCTGTGGCATAAAAGCATTTTCAGGATCAGGCTTGGCTTTGTTGCTTTCATAGATAAATTGTGTCTTTAAGTCTCTTAAGTGGTAGATACAGCATCTTTTGATGGTTTTGAATTAAGAGCTCCTCCAGCATCTCTTCCAGCCAGGCCCAAGTCTCCTGGGTAATTTGATAACCTTCCCCAGAGGTCAGATCACATCAGACGCTTTCATCGCCCCTAGAATCAGTGAACTGGCCCTTATGTTACGTACAAGAGATGAGCTCTAAAGAGAAGCTGTATTTGCTGTAGGATCTCAAAACCAAGAGACTCTGAACCTCCTCAAGCTCAGTATAGTATAAACCAAGACTGTATATAAATTAAGAATCAGCACTTATTCTAAAGGCTAAATGCTCTTTTCAGCATTAATGTGATATTATTGTATTGTCAGTGGGGCTCAGAAGAGTAAATCCAGCCCTAGAGAAATGCTGGGTGGTATCTTTTTGCTTTAGAAAATCCTCTTATTAAGGAAAAAGAAACTTTCAGGTTTTGAATAGGTCAGGATGTATGTCCTGCTAATTCAATGGAGCATGTTGCTACCAAGTGCTCTTTGTCAACAGCTCCAAACTGTCTCTTAGGAAAAATGTGAAAGCCCTCTTTGGCCCATTCTCCAGCTGCTGCTGATTCCTTTCACTGCTCTCTCTGCAGAGCGTGGTTGTATGTAATTGGACATCCGGAGCTGTACTCAGGCGGTTTGTTGGACACGAACGTGAGATCACCAAGGTAAGCGCCAGCTGTTTGAGTACAGTTGGGGTCTCCCAACCGTACCTGTCAGAAACTGGGAAAACAGGAAAAATGGAGCAATAGTTTGTCATCCACAGAGGGCTTGACCTTGTTCAGTCAGAAGGAAAGCCAAAGGGCTTATCTCAGTATCAGAACTCGCTCGTTTTTCCCCAGGGTCCCAACTGATCCTTTGCGCAGAAAAGAAGCACCAAGTGGTTGTGTCCAGATCAAACAGGGCTCCAGGAAGCTTGGACACATGCTCATCTTTCTACTCGAGCGGCTGCATGGCAGGAAGTCAGGATAAATTGCTCGGTCAAGTTTTTGATTCAGGGATGATGTTCACCTTTCTTCACGTCTCTGTCTCGTAGACTTGAACACAAAAGAACAGCCATGCACAGGGAGAGTGGGGCCTTAATCTTCCAGTTGACATCCTGATTGCAAACCCAAATATACTGCCCTGAGAACAAACATGCTACGGTGGGTACGTGCTACACATGGCGTGGCCGGTGCACCTCCTGGCTGGGAACAGCCCCGGTTGTCCTTTGTACGGTGGGATGTTGAAGGGAGGAAGGGAACATTGTGCTAGGAAGGAGAACTTCGGTGACACAGATTCAGACTTCACACTTCATTCATCCCACTGCTCAGAGTAATTTTATCTGGGTTTATCTGATTTTTGGGGAAGTTTTTCCTGTAATGTTAATGGTTTCTGAGAACAGGATGGGGAGATTTTGCAACCTTAAGTTGATTCTAGTGTTTTCTTTCAGGAAGCTCTAGCACATGTGGGCTGCAGAGCAGGATTTCGCACTTGGCAGCAAGGTGCCTTTGCATCAGGAATATGATTTTTTTTTTATTATTCTTGGGAGAGTATGTTTAAACTTTGGCCATTTTTTTGCCTTTAAAAGCCTCAATTTGTGCACGTTGAGAGTATGTAGACTTCTCATATATAAAAGCAGGCAGCTCTGAAAAATAACTCCATGCCCCGTCTCCTCATGGTTGCTATGCGTACAGGTATCCTTCCTGCAGAGAGGAGTCGATGTGATTTGTTGGAGTGAGAATTTCATGGTGACTGCAGCTCCCAGACAGGCGCTAGAACCGAGAGCAGAAAATCTGTTTTCTTTGCTTTCTTTCCTTCCCTGTCCTCCCCAGGAGACTCCTTCCTTGAGTAGGAGAAAGCTGCCCAGCTCAAATACTGGACTGCGAGGCGAGGGGCAGCCTGAGGCAGCAGCAGTGAGTCGGTCAGGTCCCAAACCTGGCGGGGCTGGGATTTGGGTGAGGACGCAGCAGACTGAGGATCGCCACGAGTCAGGTTTTTTCTTGGTGATGAGCTTATTGCTCAGTGTGTCATTGCTGTGATCTCTCTGCAACTCCACAGCACCTTTTGGACCTGGGAATTCATTCCTGGTGCTTCACTACTTTCCTCTCTGAAAATAGCTTGTGGCTTAACTTTGGCATGTAGTGCTCTTCACCCATCTCCTGGGACTGTCCTGCACACGTGCCTGCTCGTGTTGCATCTGCTTGGGAGCTAATGCCCCATGCAGGAGTGTCGGTTGTGCCATGCAAGACAGGTAACGTGGCCTGAGCGTCATGCAAGCTTTATCACTGGCCTCTCTCCAGATCATTTTTGGTGGACCCTGGCAGTGGTGGGGCTGAGGCAGCAAAGTTTCGGAGGAAGCGCCCTTGAGACCCGGGACAGCACGTCCCTCTTCCTTTCCACCTTGTCTGCAGAGGGCCTTTCTGGCAGTTCAGCATGACATATCCTAGGCACTGCCTCTCAGCTGGCCAGCAGCACGTTTGGTGGGATTGACGGTAGGAGCCAAACTTCGTAATGACAGGAGAACGGTTGTCAGCCGCTACCGATGCAATTCCTAGCCTTGTCTACAGCTAAGTGCATTCAGCGGAGTACCAAGTAGTTCATGAGGCCATAGGGTACAGTCCATTAACCTCTGGCTGGTGGTCAGCCCAAGGACACCCCTCGCAAGTGGGAAACACTGAGGCAAATGGTGAAAACGGTTCTCTTGCCGCTCTCCCAGGGGTTGAATTTGCACCTGTGAAACTGAGAGCTGGTGCGTATTTATTTAGTCTTCCTTGCTCATCAGTCCCACTCACGAGGCTGGCACCGGACTGGGATCTAGTATTCATCTACCTGAGCGCCGTACGAAAGAACTCATCCCCTTTAGACAAACAGGATGGGTCTCAGCCATTTGTTCACCAGGTCCTCAGGCCCCCTCAGGTTCATCATCACTGTCCCCTCTTCAAGTGCCAAGCTGAACCAGGAGCTGCCTTTTCTTGCCTGCTTGAGAGCAGATAAATCACTTGGGTTAAGCTTTTGTGTTGCTTCATAAAGCCACAGCCAGTGAGCTGAACTATGAGGGCAGAAACATCAAGTGCTCTCCAGGTTCAGATGTCCTCACGTGGGCTGCTTTATTAGACTGCCTCTGTTCTTCATGCTGCATTTCTTTTAGGTTTTCACAGGCTATTGCCAACATGTTCTCCAGTCTGTCTCCGGTCGGGGCATACCTGAGGGCAAGTGGAGACGTTGAGGGCTTTTTCTTTCATAGCTCTTACTGGATCTAGCTGTCTCAGCGCTATTGTCTGTGCAGGAAGTCCAAATAGTGACAGGTCTGTACAGGTTTGATGGTGCACCACAGGTCTGATGAAGGCACCATTTCAGGGTGAGGAGGGACATCATAGCAAATCACACTGGCGGGCTAACCTCCCTTTGAAAAAATTCCCTTTTAAGGGGAAGGGAATCAGGAAGACCCTGGAGCTTGGCATTCAGAGCAAGAGGGACTCGATCTTGCCATTTCAGCATTGTTATTCCAACCTTGCGGTATCGTTATTGCTCCTGACCCAAAACTAAACATAAAAAAGGCATTTTGAGGGTCAGGCTCTCCTCTGGTCTCATTTATGCACGCCTGGAGCTTTGACACGGCAGCAGGAGTGCCGTGCTTTCCCCACACGCTGCTGACTTGAGCAGGAAGTCTGAGGTACGTCTCCCATCTTGTCCTGGGCAGGTCACCTGTGCCCTTGACTCAAAGAGAGTCTTCAGCGCATCCCGTGACAAGACTGCGATGATGTGGGAGCTTCACGGGACTTCAGAACCAAGGCAGCATTTCCCAGGACACGACCTGGTCGTTACTGGACTAGCCGTGAGCCCAGGTGAGGAATAACTGACTCCTGTTCCCCAAATGGTGATTTCTTTACAATTTTTCTTTACAATTTTTGGACATTGACTTGTGGTTGCAGATGCCTCCCACCTGTGCACAGGTTCACGAGACAACACCGTTTGCAAGTGGGACGTAGAGACTGGAGAGCGCCTGTGCAGAGCTGGTATCTCCAGGAATCTGGTAGGAGCCGCTGGTTCCCTTCGTCCTATAAAGGCAACTCTCTGCCTGCTCGGTCGATCCGCGTGTAAAACTGTGCAAAGAGGATCTGCCGGAGCTTGGCGCTACGCTGAGCCCAAGATGCGCTGCACAGGTGCCTTTGCACTTGTGGAGATTTGAACTTGAGGCTGCTTACCCTCTTTTCCAGGAAAACAAACCCCCCTAGCACAAAGATACTGAGACACATACGGCAATTTATTAACGCCCAGTGCTGAGCAGAGCCGTCAGGAAGTGCGTTTTGTGGTAGGGTCTGCATGCCCTTTTGCGTCAGCTCAGCGGCAGAGTTGTGAGTGTCTTTGGGTGCCCGTGTTTCCACGGTGCTGGGTCCCGTTCAGCGTTGGTGCCTCCCTGCCTGCTGATAACCACGTGGGACTGAACCTGTCGCTCCCAGTAGGGGAGCAGCACTGATGGGAAACAGGGGGGAAAAAAAACAAAACTATCCAACATTTCTTGCTCAATACGCAGCGCAAGGAGAGCAAGGACAGGGGAGCTCCGTGGTTCTGTGTTACAGGCAGACGTCAGCCCGGGCTGCCTGCTCATCCCTTCCCCTCCGCAGGTGACACATCTGTGCTGGCTTCCCGGGGAGCCTTACGTCATCCAGGCCTCAGAGGATAAAACGATCAGGTAAATCTTACCGGCGGCCACTGAAGAGGGAGTTACAGCTTGGGAAATATGCCAAGAGATCATGGAAGAAGAGTGGTCAGTCTGGGAAAGGGGGCTGTGCCCATCGTTGCAGTAGCGTGTCAGAGCCCCCCTTCCCCGCTCCTGTGCTTTCAGGATCTGGGATAGCCGGGAGCTGCAGGTGGCACATACGTTCCTGGGCAAGCGGCACATTCAGACGTGCTGCGATGTGAGCCAGGACGGGCGCTACTGCGTCAGCAGCAGCGGCGGCTTCGCTGGGGAGGGCTGTGAAGCAACCGTGAGTTCGCCGGGCAGCGATTCCTGCGTTATCTGCTTTTCTGCTTTTTCTGTTTTTTTTTTCTTTTCTGCTTTTTCTGTTTTCTCTGATCTCCATGGCGCGCAGCAGATCAGTGCCCAGAGGGGCTGCTCGTGGCGCTGGTTTGGCTTCACACCGGTATCACCAGCTGGGCCTGAGGCTCCTGGTCGAGCTCCTCAGTTTCTTCTGGTCTCTCCTTTTCATGAGTCTTCTGTAATAGCAGATGTTCCCCCCTCTCTCAGGGCACTCTGTAAACAAAAAAAAAACTTGCTTTCCTTGTAAAACAGCTGTGTCATCAAGTGACGATGACAGAGCCCAGAGGTTGCCTGGACTCTAAACGCTGCCCGTTGCCTTGCAGCTGTGGGACCTGCGGCAGACGAGGAGCCAAGTGCGCGAGTACAGAGGGCATCTCCAAACCACAGCCTCGTGTGTCTTCCTTCCCCGGGGCCTGGCGCCGGCCCCTGTCATTGCCACGTCCTCGTACGACCGCAAAGTGAAGATCTGGGACCAAGAGAGCGGAGGTAGGGGAGGGAGCTGCCCACCGAGCGGGTGTCACCCTGGGCTGCCGCAACCGCTTCCTTGGTCTCTGTCTCCCTGCGGTGATGGGTGCAACGGAGCCTGTAATCTCCGGGTTTTTACTCGAATCCAGCCACAGGGCAGGGATGGAGATGTGCCCTGGAGCACTGCTTCAAATGGGCTTGTTTAAAATAGGCTGATGATAGAAGCCTGCTCCTCTTTTACTTTCTGCTTTCCTTACATGCTCTTTCACCCCGGTGCCGCTGGGTGCTGGCAAGCAGCTGGTCACGGCCGGGTGACCGTCACAGCTGCCAGCCGTAATGCAGGCGCTGCTTGAAGGGCGAAAGCCTCAATGCAACGCAGGTGCCTGCATGTCCCTGTCCAGCGTGGCGTGGGGCCAGCAGCTTTGCACAAGCGCCCTCTCGGCATCCGTTATTAACAGGCGTGAGCAGAAGGGCTCACGCGGCTCTGCAGACCTTGTGTCTGGCTCCCTCTCGGCTTGTTACCGAAACTGCACGTCCCTTAAGAAGAGTTTTCCTGAACTGTA